CACCTCGCACACGCCGCTCCTCTGGGCGCAGAACGCGGCCGACCTGTGAAGGGTGCGTACGTCTACAACCCTTCTTGCTGCACCCGACGCGCGCCTCGTCTGTGCCCCCATTCATCTCAGTTTGCTGGTCGCGTCGCTGATACTACGTGCGCTGCCCCTTCGTCCATATGGTGCAGGTACTCGAGGTGGTCAGGTCGAACACCTTCGACTTGCCCAGTTCTGTAAGTACAAGATGTTGTTTGTCGACGGTTGCGATTATCCTTCCAGAAAGTTTGCTTCACTCTCGCTTTCGCACTACGTTCGAGTTACACACGCGTGTTCGTAATCGCTTTAGGTGTCTGAACGGATGAGGTGTTCGCCCTTTCGATAGCTTTTTTTGCTGGGGATTACTAGGCTTGAATTTGACTTGACGCACGGATGACGGAAGAAAAGCACGAAATTTGAGATTGGAGATTCCATATAATTTCAACTTGTATTAACTTCAACTGTCAATTGCACGTTAAAGAATCAAACTTCGCAAAGGATTGATTGATTGAAGACCAAACAGGTGTCCTTAAAAATCATAGATCTCCAGATGCGCGATGATGTTAAGGTTGTGTTGATCATATGTGAATTACATAAACGTCTGCGCACGTTGACACAAGTAAAACATAGTGAAACTTTTGGCGCTCACAGTTCTATCCGAATAATTTGTTATTTGTATTTAGTATTTTATTTACTGCAAATTTTGTGTCTTTCGTATTAGTTTCAAATTGTTGGCAATTTTTACTTCCTGTCCATCTGTCATCTGTCTAAATAACGCGAAGGCAGTAAAACGATATCTAAAATTTGTCTGATCATCCCCAGCAAAAATTTTGCTAAATATGCTTCTCTACGTATAATTTACTAATCCACGACTATTGTTTAGCTTATGCATGCTTTTGTTGCGCTATAGTTCTGTTTTTATTATTTGGAATACTTTACAAAGTGTTTAAAAAAAATTGATAAACGAATAATATCCAATTTGATATCTTTATTGCCACTAAACTTTCTTGTCAAAAATATCCATGTGAAAAAAAGTCAAAATTTCTTCAAAACTACTACCTGTTACGTAGTCTCATTACCTGTTTTTAACAATTGGCAATTAGAATCAGTTTTACATTTCTGTATATTACAGCTTTAACGCGATTACGTCGTAGCTCCTTTTACATCCAGAGAAACAATCTGTCCTTTCACGAAGACGAAACCCTTTCTCGAAATAATAGTTCTCGGATATCGGAAACAAATCTTATCTTGGAATATGCACTTACATCTAGAAAATCCATATCGCATCTCGTATTGTCTCGCAATCTAGTGTGACGGGTGTTCACATATCACACATCATTTGTAAAGCGTCTAGCAGGCGTAGCTTTTGTATTCTTGTGGTATAAATTTACATACGTGCGTAACCTCAAAGTGGCAACTGCTGTTCCCTTATCGTCGAACTATTTGTAGGCTATTATTATCTTCTTATTTTACATGTTAATTAAATTGTGTACTCCTCTGTAAATTAGTTTGAAATATTAATTTCATCATTCATACCACAATCGCCGTACTTAAATGACGAATTGAACGTAGATATTTTCGGCCGAGTTGCTGAAAATACGAATAAAAGCACTTCGAGTAAATGAAAATTTGCTTTTCCGATGTTTCATGTGGACTATTTTCACAGGGGTTCGTGTTAGGGACCGCAAGAGTAAATTAATTCATTTTATACGCTGTCCTTCCCTTTTCATATTATTACTCTATTCATACGCCGTTTTAAAATAATCGGATGTACCTTGCATTTTATCAATTATTATTATGGCATATAAAGTGGCACGTAAGATAATAAATTACTAATTTCATTAGATTAGTCACACCTGACGGCATGACCTCATTATTTCTATAAGATCATAATTTTTCCGTGCTTTGTTAACTAGTCAATTTTTAACTCTGTGTGAAATATTAAAGTTTCAACAGGTCTTAACGTACAGACATTAACGTAGATTAATTTAAGTTGCATCTAAATAACACGTTGGCATCTTCGTTTACTTTACTTTATATCACTAACACTACTTACTCTTTTCTCTAGTTTTCCGATCTGAATTCTTGAACCTTCACCTCTATTCAACTAACTATTGTAAATACTAAACTACGATCAATACGTTGTTTTCTGATAATTTCTCAATAACATTTACTATGCAGCAAATCGTGTCATAACTCACGAACAAGAACTGCAACCACTGGGACACATAAAAACGAAAATGCCACAATGTAGGTCCATGACACGTTCTTTCAAGCACAAATCCAAGAAATCCTAATGAAAACGTGCACGTCAGTACGTGATCAGTAATCGGAGGGTGATTCTCCCCTATTTGCCAATGGTCCAGGGGGTTACTGTACGAAAACAATGAAACATTTTTACGTGCCTTTTACTTTCAGACAGCACAGGGATACATTTATTTTAATAAAAATATATTGCCCCATTAAGTCTGCACGTTCTTCCATTATCAATCTGGTGTGACCCTTTCAAGTCTACCCAAACCATATAAAATCTGGAATGAAAAACACAACTACTTACTTATAGAAATACAGCTTCATTTTTTTCACTTAATTTTGTTAACGCAAACAAGAGATCATGAAAGCCTCTCAAATTACAAGTCCGGAGCAACTAGAATCCTCACTTGTAATATCAAATTTTGTTCGGTGTTTATTTCCAAGTTAGGTACACATATTTCGAGATTCAAAAACACTCCGCGAGATACTGTATTCACAAACAGTGACTTCTTTGTTTTCATAAGCAGTTAAATAGAATATCTTTTATGGCGAAGATAATATCACGAAATGTTTCCGGATTTCCAAAGATACAAATCCCCGTTTACCCAACTGTTGCTAAATTCGATAATCAAGACGTCCCAGAGCGCTTTTATGAGTATTCTTTTATCATTCTTTGCAATAAATAACCCACAAGCATAAACGGAATCAGAGAACGTTCGTTACATCCGAAAGCAGTATTCAAGTCTCATTGATAAAAATTATGCAGATTGCTGCCATTATTACGTCCGACGTATCAAACCCCACTCAATAACGGCTGCCGGAATTTTCCATATTTTCCGTTCCACATAAGGGAAAAATGATATATGTAGAGACTCCATCCAGACGGCTGGAAACCACTCTTAAATTTTACTTACAGTGAGATAACCTGGATTTACCATGACATTCCGTAGGGTTTCGGAACTGTTATGGCCATATTTGGCTTTTTGCTTTTTCCTCTTGAAATTTCTTTTGCTTTAGCGTCATGTTATCTCGGAGATACGTGTCGATGCAACGTTTGATGTCACATGCAGCGGCTGTCGACGTAATTGCACTCGAAAAAAGTCATCTTCACAACTTCTATATATTTCCTGTGGTTTCAATAAAATCTTAAACGTCCACTTCGTGAACCGTCACTCAATCGATAAAAATCCGGCATGATTCGAAATGTACGTTTCAGTAATTTTTCTTCGAAACGATTTGTTTTTGTCGCTTTGTTTTGTTTTCTAATCGCTTTTATTGGCGATTTATCATGGGCTGTCTTCGACCATAAGTTATTGCTATTTATTTGTCCAGCTGAGTAGTTGATTTATCTAAAGTAATGACGATTTATTAGCTGCAACTGCTATTATATTCGTGGTCTGAAGACTGCAAGATGACATTTGAGATCGTCGATGATTTATTTTGGTAGGTAATTATTGCGAGTTTAATGACGTCATGGTCGATTTACAATTTACGGTATACAAAATGTAATTCATATCTCGCGTGTGCCAGTTGCAGCCAGAATCCTGCTCTAATTTAGTCTGATGACAGGAAATTAAAGTCGAGCTTCTGTCCATTATGGGAGGAATGTTGTTATCGCCTATCTCCATAGTTACAGCTGGCCTAGGCTTTTGACACAACACATTCCAATGTCCCAGCATTGCAACGACGAGCTTTCAAAAGCCATTATCATGACACACTGTCAAATGTATTCAATGCGACGGATATGCAAAATGACCGATGTTTATCGGGGTCATAAACGCCAGAAGCCGACAAGAAATCCAACACCGGCAACAGCTGTAATAAATTATTACTTTCGAGAGGGTTATTGAGTTGTTTTCGGAAACATGCGGATATTGATAATGTGTCAGTACCTGTCGGTTATTTTAATGGTGTTTTTGATGGGCGCTTAACTGATATGATCGCTCACTTATTCAATTCTCTGGAGGTAATAAATATCCAGGATTCTCGGGGCTCGGAAAGATTGACCGAAGAAACACTTTTTGTGTTGGCTAAGGAGGCTTTGTTCAGGCAAATTTTGTAATTTATTTTGGTATTAACCCTCCTGATTGAGCAAGAGCGATCGATAGCTACAACAGCGGGGGACGAACAACCAACTTCTAAACAATAAACTGAGTTTTAGGGGGAAGGGGGGCGAATTGAGTCTCTTAGGGAACAATTTCGCAGTGTTGCTGAAAGCCTACGACGTATGCGAGAGAAGAGAGAATTTTCAAAATTCGCTAAACTTAACACCAACGTCTATAATTGAATGAATAATTTAATCGCTTCATATTCGTTTAATCCTAAAAGAAAGTTTGGTCTTCGAAGTATAAATAAATCTCTTCATCTTGTAAAAACTGGCACAAAGTTTCTAGACTATTTAGGTTTATTTTCTTTCTTTACAGTGTAAAAATGGAAAATCTAGTCCTTCCTCTCCTCGTTAAAAAGTCTCTTACACAGGCTCGATTTAATGATTTTTCCATTAGTTTACCGCAGCAAGTAGACTAATGTTTATGAAATATTCATCACAAATTTCTTGCATGATGTGCTGCACTAAGAAGACAAAAACTTCCATTGTTGCTTAACGCACGCAAAATAGTTTATTATTTAACAGCAAACCGAAAAACTAAACAAAGCAGAGTGTAAATTTTACGATGATAACGATCTGTTTTTCCAAACTAAGCTAACAAGAATATTTTTTCCAGATGAACCGCCCCATCCAAGTGAAACCAGCGGACAGTGAAAACCGCGGAGGTAAGTTCTTGTTTTCTTTTCATGATATGCATTATTCATTATTCAATTAGAACCTACCAGTTTAATGCTACCACTGCGCAGCATTAATTAACTTAAATGGATTCCCAAGAAATTTTTCTTCCCAACTTTCATTTCGAACAACAAACTATACTATGTAGGTGTTGCAGCCGAATTACATTATTCATTGTCAAGATTAATGGGTCGTTTTGCTTTGAACGATTTAACATACAGAGTAAGGTTTCTGTAAATCTGTAGCGTTTTCGTTGTACTTAGAGTTACACGGAATTTGGCGACTCGCACGTGCCTGGAACACACATACTTCAACTTAGTCGAAACATTTGGCGGCGTCGACTAAAACAGTAAATGAAAGTAGTACACGAAGGTGTCTTGATGAGTCGAAATAAACAATCATTTGGTGTTACTTCAGTATATTACTACTTTAGTCAGACTCCAAAATGTCGTCAATGTCGGAGTCAAAATCAGTCACATGGCCTCTTATCACATTATCAGGTGTTAACCAATTCTGTTTTATCTAATTTAAACATTGTGGCGTTTCGAATATTACACCGTATGTATGTTACACAAGGTAAGTGCGTAAACATCTGTTTTCTCTGTCTTCCGAATTCATCGTCAGTGATTTCCAATTTTCCTCAATTACACTTTTTTGGGTTTAACTACACAATCGATAACACACTCTGTACATATCCATTCCGTTTTAATCCACAAGCCCCATCGCATTAACCGCTCCTCTGGCTCGAAAAAGCCGAAATTAATTCCCGACTAAATTTTGGTATTCACTTTGAAAATCCGGTTGGTGTTCAGCTAAATTTTAAAATATTTGTTTAAGCACTAATGTAAACGGATTGGCTCAACTGAGTGCGCGAACAAGATTTGTTTTTCGTTTTGCATTCGTTTATTTTTATCTCCTTTTTCCTCGGCTATATCGATGCCGGCGGTGGTGTGCCGTTTTGTATTTCGAAACGTACACACTCGACGAATTAACCAGCAAAGTTATGAGAGATGAGCAAGCATTAAGCGTGCAATTTAAGATGAAAGGAATGCAAACGACAATCGCTGAATGCAGGTATTTACATAAATCAGGGAACTCCTTGTGTTAAGTACGTATGTGCACGCGCTTCGTGTGGCATTGCTTCTGACGTTAACGCGTGCTACAAAACGTCGGCGTTACGGAAAAATACGGAAAATTATTCACACAGAATTTCACAAGCCTTTGCATTTTATTTCTCAGAAACACATACTCAGAATTAATAAGTTTTCAAAATGACGTCATCAATTTTCCAGAGGGGATAAATACAAACATTACTTAGCGTTTTGGCAAAACTTCAAAGTAATTCACCTTGCAAACGCTAAAAAACAAAAGTTTAAACACTGGTAGAAAATTCAGGGAGCGAGAAGGGTGGAGACTCGCTCTATAGGGTTTGATAGCTTAGCATCGATATAAAAAAATGCAGATGAATTATTTAGAACGGCTGTAACGAATACGTTTAAATTAGAGGGTAGCGTGAGTGACGTAGCGAACGACTTAAAAATAACGAATTGAATGTCGGGAACAATTATTTCATTTCGAGAGAAGAATACATATCGTGCACAATAAATTCAACAGGTTATAGCGTGTGTATCGTACAAAACGTAAAAATACAATTCGTCCTAGTTCTAAAAACACTCGTCCACGTTATAAGAGAAGTGTCAGGAACACACGACAGATATTTATATTTGTTTTGTTTCCTCTGACAATTCAGTCGTCGTTATGTTTTTCACCACCCTCGGACGTAAGTACACGGTAAATAAAATTTTTGTCGCTAGGTAACTGTCTTACATACTTACTTTCAATACGTTCTTATTTTCTAAAGCAAATATACAAAAGTAAATACCTTCCACAATCGTCAATCGATGCCTGTTCATTAAAGGGGCGTCACACAAAAATGATTCGTCATGGCTAACTGTATCTTTAATTTTCAATACTTGCAAAAATTTGTCACAAATCTAAGGATACATTTTTTAAATTATAACATCAGTAAAAGAAGATTTTTATAAACAATTATTTGTAACAGGGGACCTAATATACAGTTTATTCATAGAAATGAAGTTGGCCATGGTTGTTTCTTCCAGGAGATGGTGCTTTAAATTTTGTATTATTATTTTTTTAATATAACTGCAAACTGCATTACAATTACTAATAAAATATCTTCTAGTGATTTTGAGAAAACGCTTTGAAGTCTGTGCGTGTCCCTATTTCCGCCGATATTGAACCCCTTCGCTTCGACAGATTAATAAATTTTCCGTGACATGATTACTGTATCAAACGGTCATTTTAGGGGAAAAATGCATCGTGTGTGTTAACAAGGACGGAAGGGGTGCACCACCCTCGCTCCACTCAATAATTAATTACTTCCACCAGCCCGACACGTCAAATTTAACATAGTTTAGCTAGACAAAAGTGGTATTATTTGATTAAAATCGGAATATCGTCGGTAGCGTAAGAAAATCAATAGTCGAATTAGGAGTGTTCGCTAATAAAAGTCGTAATTGTTTTAACAAACTTATGACGAATAACAGGGAGGAACACGAGAATCCTAATCAAAACTGACGTTATTATCCGCGTACAAACATTTATAAAGTAAGATTCATTTCACATATAAATTAACTTCTTTGATGAGGGTTGCTAGTGCTTTAACAAGCACGTGCACCTGGTAAACGAGTTCGATTTCATACTCCTCCACTCCAATTAAGTTGCACATTATACCAATTATTTCCCTCCACGAATTGAGCTTAATTGAAGTTGCTGTGCAGGGTGTCTGCCGGGAAGCCAAGTCACCTCGCGTACATCTTTGATTTTCTCTGGTACGTTTAAAATCAATAACACAACAAACATGCCTTTGAAAAAAGCCCATGGAAAGCAGGCCTTGTAGTTATTTTTTTCGGAAAGTAGAGCTCCGGGTGCAAAAAAGTATATTATTAAAGGAAAGATCGATCAACCGTCAACATCGAGATTCTGGATTGAATAACCAATTAGTTTTTGTTATTGTAAGCCGAGCCCGGAGGTAAAGAGTAAATCAATAAATTTTGGTTACAATGTAAATGATTTTGATTAAACTTGGCGCACAGTTCTACCCTCTACACCTCTCGACGCCCCCTTCACTCGCGCGTACTCTAATTTTATCGAAATAAAAGTCCCTCATCAAAAACAGTAAAACGAGATTATCTCAAGCCTTTCAAAGATGTAATTAAATTATGCGAGGAAATAGCTGTCTCCGATTTTACGAAGAGATAGGATTAATTATTTGTTTCGATCTCAGGAACGGCATTATTTAGACCGGAATTGTGTCGCTCCAAACACTTCTTTGCATCTCAATTGTCATTTTTCATCGAGATAAGACGATCTCCGGTCGCGAGAGCTTATCCACTTTTGGACTTCTGATTTGCTCATCTGCTTAATTTTGCGAAAAAACATTAACACCCTCCAGTGGACATATTTATGCGCTGTAGCAAAATTCTCATTTATATTTCGAGCATTCCGGATCGTGAATTGTATCTCGTTATCAAGAAAGATACAGTACACGTAAAGTATTGAAAAGTTCGTTAATATTTGATTTTCGACATTCACCGATTTGTGTCGTTATCCTCGTCCTGTCGCCCCGTCCAAAATAAATTCCGTTCCACTATCGATTTGTAGGAGAGCGCCTAAATGTTTGACGATAATCGAATGCAGGATCCCATAATTAAGTATTCAAGAAAGACGTAATAGAAAGCTCACAACGCGGAAAGCAGATAAGGCGAATGGGAAGTTAAAAGAAAAGAGTACTTTTATAGCCCAGTCAGTAGACATCGGTTATCAATTCAAAGGAGTGGAAGACATAGAAAGTTCATAAACCAGAACTGCTGGAGACAAAGAGAAACATCAGTCAGCAACAGTCGCCCAAGAACGTAAAGTTTAAGTAAATGCGGCAATTCGCTGCAAGAAATGAACTCTCTTCGAGATATTCAATTCGTCTTGAGCGAACGATTTTAGGGCTCCTATTTCGATTCCCTACCAATAGGACATCCCCTATTACCGAAATTATTTATTATTCTTCGACTCGCGTACCCCTAAAGATCCTTTCATTGACGATATATTTTATACCAGATTACCTTTTTCTTAAGCGCTGCATATACGATGATCGTTGCAGATTGCAAGTCATCGAGAAACTTATGCGGCTCTTCTGGGTTTTATTATTGACATTTGTCAGGGCCACGTGACGCTCTGGAGGTTGTCATTAAGTTAATTTTCTCTCGTTTCCAAAGCTTTTAATTAAGTAATTGCTATTTCCCATCCTGATACAGCGAAAGGAAATTATTGAGCAAGTCTGACTTTTATCCAAGATCCGTCCATGCTGGAACCCTTCTAACAATGCAATGCCGGTGGCGACGTTTCGAAAGTCACATAGTTAAAGATGACGTCTTAGACAGCTACTTTATGCTAGCTTTTAAACATCGCCACCACTATTATCCACACAGACATTGTTTATTGTATCAACATGACGTAGAGCTGAAACGTGTTATTCAAGTTTCAAAATTCACGTTGAATAGTCCAATAGTATCATTAGATTTTAGTTAGAAATGACCATTTCTGATATTTGCTTTGGAAATTCGAGCTGAAACTGTTTACGTCTAATACTAAATAGGAATCTAATACTACGCAACATATATTTATTAAATTTACTTTTATTTCATTGTTTGCTCATACAAATCTGATTTAAATTATTTGATTTTTTTCTATTCCGAATTAATTCGTTCTATGCCACCTGAACGTTGATGAATTAGTTATGTGTACTGCGCTGTTACCAAGGCTGCACCAGTTCAATAGCGATATTTAGCTGTTATCTTCAAATTTGGTTTTGTACCCGGCGCATCCACCAAAATAACAAATGTTATTTCTATCTCATAATCCCAATGGCAATCATAGAAAATAAGCATACAGCCAGTAGCCTGAAAGTCATTCCATACTTAAGTCCGCTAGGGCCAAAAGGAGTTCGGAATAATAATAATCTAAACAATATCAAATTAATAATCGTAGAAAAAGTATGGTCTACAACTAACATGGATTGGCTTATTTATCATTTGTTACGGTTATGATATAACCCGAAAACGAATCAGTAGCCAGTACCTACAGCTGTTACATATTATTCTGTAAGTTCTATATTATCTATCTATTTTCTATATATCCAAAGTATCTAACGTCACACGGCAAAACTGAGCTCGCTTTCGATGTAGTAGACTTCAAGCAGACTATAATATAAAAAGATATGGTTTAATTGGAAAACATTTTGGTTGTTTTTGATAGTTGGTTTTATGATCTTATTATATAAAAGTGTTTGTCCTGACTAACAGACTGACTGATTCATCAACGCAGAGCCTAAACTACTGACGCTAGAAACATGAAATTTGGACTGTAGGTTCCTTCCGTGTTATAAGTCCGCACTAAGAAAGGATTTTTGGAAATTCGGCCCGTAAGGGGGTAAAATAGGGGATGAAAATTTGTGTGGAAGTCCAGTGAGTTTTTAGGTTAGACTGGTTCACTAGGGAAGGGAGAGTGAAGGGGGTGAAAAATGGTATGTCCTAATTGCGAAATCCACGCAAACGGAGCTCTTCTAGTAGTTACATATTTATAAGTATGAATTTCATCTCTTAACGTCTTACCCTTCTGTAGGAGCAATCCACTAGTTCTTGTTCCGTGATTAAAGGCATGTGACTGTTTACAATCGTTTTCACACAAAGCTGGAATGGCACAATTCTTGATCTTTCAGTTGATATCTTTCAAAAAAGCAGAAGATCGTCTTCCTAGATAGAATCGTGTTATTCTAGCTTTCAACGGTACCACGTATAGTGTGTTCTACGGCTGCAGTCAGCGTCGAGTTGCAGATTAGAAGCGCCGGCTCTCCCGGCCGCTCGCGAGCCCTAAAACCGTCCCCAGGTACGGGAGAGAATCGGCGATAGAGCACCAGGACGCCGCTGCTAGGTCTGTTCTGATTACAGAGCTCGCGATGGCGGCCGGCATCAGCTGCGGCGGCGTCTGCTGGAAGTAGGGGCAAGGTAACGAGGAGATAGCTAGCTCCCCGACCCGCCCGGACCCGGTCAAGTAAGACCACGTCCTGTCCTTGTTGTGGCGTTGTGACAGTGTCGTGCGTATTAGACTGTTGTAGTGCGTTGTTCCTGTGCAGCAATGGTCAGCTCGTTCGTTCGATGTATGTCTAGACGTTGTGTATTACCTCTGAATGTATAGTGCAAACTTCTATGTCTTCCGTATGATTTTTTACGTATATCTGGTAAAGGTGCAGCCGCTTCCAGACGACTTGCCCCCCCACACATGGTCGGACGCGAAGGGGCTGCACCAAGCCTGTGCGCGATAGGCGCACCACTCGTAAGTATCGTACATGTACGCCGCGTAATGTTACAACGCAACTACCAGAGCACTGTCATGTACCCTAAACCGCGCCTTCTTCCTTCTGCTCTACCTCTGTACTATATGTCGCAGGTTAAGGTTCGCATCTAAATTTTGGTCTCGCCTATGGAAACGGACTCCTATAGGACGATCAAGTTTCTTAATCATTTACAGTCGTAACCAAATTACATTCTCTCCATGATCTACACAAAGTTACAATTACATTTTCGATAACGATCTATTTATTCACCATAAAACACGTAATTATGCAATCTAGATCTTACCCGAGTTAAGGAACAAAATTCTTAAAATCACTAGGACCCCACAAGCAAAACCTGCCATATCTTGTATTTCGAAAGACTGGCCGTAAGATGACAGGGCACTTCAAGCATAATTACATGATTTATTTCAAAACCATTCTTTTTGTTCGATACAAAAATACAGCGTGGTTTGCGTATCTTTTGGCCGGAGCAACCAGTTCAGGTAACTTAGTAATTGTTTCGCTTTAAATTAGGCTTTTGTGTTAGTCAAAGATAGCGTTATCTGTTGTTTTTTGGTATGGATATATATTATTGATGAACTCTTAATGTTAGGTTATGTACTTCGAAATGAGGCAATAATTTTAAATTATCAGACTTTCTTAGAAGACATCAATGGGATTTTAGAGGACTGTCACAACGAACACATCGCAGTACATTAGACGGATGAAAAACTGGATAGCTTTTGCCTTATCTAATTCTAACAACATGGAGCATTGTCCATGACCATTACGATGATGGCGAAAATCCAAAAACACTTATAGACACGTACATTTAAAGTTTGCGTTGTCGAAAAGTGCAGAAATAAAAATTCCTAGATAATTACTTCATTCAAAAAGTTATGTCCCATATAGAGGAAGAGTAAACCTAAAACCAGTCCCACTTCAACGTTTATAGCGATATTATATTGGTCGTAATACGGCGTTAATAGAAATAAAAGGCAAAAGTTGCAAAGAATGATGAGTCCATTCACGATTCCATATACGATGCTTCGACTAAATCAGCAAACGCTCCAATCAATCTCGTTAAAGTTGCAGAAGTTCACCGACATCATTCGAAATAACAGTTCATTTAAATATGACCCTCCGACACAGTGGAATTTAAATTTGTCACTTCAGCTAAATGTCGACGAAATAGATACGGTACAAATGGGGGCGCTGGAGTGACAGTAAACCTTGTGGGAATTTACGGTGTGGTCCAGCGTGTGCCGAAATGTATCAGTTATTGACCAAACGGATACCTAAGCTTCAGTTATTGAATCATTAGTACAAAATCAAGGGATTAATGGACATCAACTGGAGACTCTTCTAGCTGACGATAACATAATTATTATGGACACTGCACATCATAGGTGACTTTCATCAACGATGCTGAAATAGGGATTGCGTAGAGATCTTTTAATGCTAACTCGAGCAATGGAACCTGTTAGTTGTTTCTCAACTAACAGGTTCTGCATTATTTTTAATTAATTTAATGACAATGATGAGTATGTTGCATCTATTCTTTCTACATTATTTGTAAGAGTCAGAAGTTTTCGTTATTTTAAAGATATTAGGAAGCGTATTGTGCTTTTACGCATCTCACTTTTAAACGATACATCTATATATGATGTAACGGAAGAGTAGAATGGCGATGAAGGAAATTTACCAATATTGCATTATTGATAGCCTTTCACTCTTCCATGATCGAGATTCGAGAGTGTTTCCTAGCGCATCAGCATTGATGTCTTTAATGGAACGTATAGCCAAGAAGCGCAATATTCTTTCTCCAATTATGTTAATATGACACCCTCCGCAAAAATCAAAGTTGTATAGAAATTTCAAAGTCAAATGAAAGTGGAAGCTCATAAATCTCAATCTAAAATCCAAATTTCTTAAAGAAAAGCCAAACTTTGTACATTTTCACCTAGTGCATGGCTGGATTCACTGTTCCGCTTTAACTGGTGCTCCCTAATGGCAGTTATAAATTCAAAGCAGAAAAAACCGTCTAGATTGTTTTAGTGGCCAAAAAAAAGTCGTGGGTGGGTTGCGATAAATCGCCGCCGCCAAGAACTCGATATGGGTCTTGAACGAGCCGATTAGATGGCAAAGTTTTGAGCTTCGTCTAAATTGCGTGTCCATTATCTTGGCAGCCAGTCCTTTCGGCCATAATCGCCGGAGAGGGGGCCTCGCGTCTGACGCTCCGGTTTTGATGCGTAGGTCCTGGATGATCCTTTGATTATGGGTCGTCCTGATTTAGAAGCGACTTTGATCCAATTACGCTCGACCACTCTTTCTAATAATCCCTCCATCCCGAAATCCTCTCCGATGAATAGCTCCAGTAAATCGATCGCTAGCTCCTAAGCTCGTACCTTGAGTGTCAATATTAGCGGAATTTTATATGGACTTGCACCTGCGTTAGTTATGTTTATGTGTGTGACAGGTGAGGTACTCTTACTAACACATTTTTTTTCCTGCTACCATCGCAGATCGAAAGCTGTTCGTGGGTATGCTCAGTAAGCAACAAACTGAAGAAGATGTCAGACAATTATTCGCACCCTTTGGAACAATAGAAGAGTGTACGATTCTTCGGGGACCCGACGGAGCTAGCAAAGGTAATCACCACATTTTATTTCTTCACTCTTTGGATTTTTTCGACGTCATGCGAGCACGTTTCCTATTCCATGTGCGGAAAATTGGAATGCGTAGCTCCCGTGATCACTGTCAACAGTAATTTAGATGTATGTATATGTGTGCAAACGTGGGATACAGGAGGAAGTAATTGCATTTCTAGCAAACGTTTCCTCTAGTATCGCATGACTTACGTTGCTTTTAGTTGATCCTTTCTTGTTTGTAATCCCTTAATCGTATCCTCCTCGTACATCTAATAAACCAACTTATTATATCGTTAATCGGTTGCTAAGACCCTAATTACCTCCCAAAATCGGATCGTCTTAAAACTAACCGTTCTAAAATTAACCAAAAATTCCACTCGACGCCATCAAACTTCTAATATTCCGTCGCCGCCCCTGCAAAACCTTCTCGGCGCGAACAATACCTTTCGCTGCGGACAGGCAGTCTAGTATTTCCGTCATTTCGAAAAGCAATAACTCGCTCATGACTGCTCTAAATGTAAATTCATCCGTGTCAGTACTTAGTGGAACGAAGCAATTTCAATTTAGAGCGTAGATTAAACGCTTTGATTTAACGGAGAACCTTTTTAATCTCAAAATTAAAATTTCTGCATCTTTAAGAGGTCTTAAATTCAAATTTTTTGCGACGAAAATGAAATTCCATCATAAAAATATTAGTTATTAATGGAAAACGTTATTAGCTACTTTTTAGTACAAAAAAAAAACACGGAAAGTTCCGCACGCAGCATCCCGATAGCGCCAGAATGTAAAAAGAGTTCAGCTAATGAAAATCCGCGGCCAATTGCGAATCGATGCTCTAACAGGATTTAGTAAAGTAATTAATGAAAACTCTAATTAAATTTCATTCGATTAGAAATGCCACCAAAACGGGTGCAGGGATAAAAATACGAACTCTGCATTTTCACTAAATCTATGATGGGGTTAATAAAACCTCCATTTTACAGAGATACTATTAATTAACGACGTTATAACGTAAAATTTTATTTGTATTTTTAAACAAAATTAATAACGGACGCGCACACCACAAAAGACAACGTTTTTTCGCAAGAATCGTAAAATTTGGGACTTCGTGTGACGCTGGCTGCCGAAACCAATATTTTTCTCGAACTGAAAATGCTAGTAGATGAAAACTCGAAAGTCGAATTTGTGTCAACTCGAAAATGTATGGTCATGTTAACCGGATCGCTGCACGCCGAAACTAATAAAATAAATAAAAACGAGGCTCTTCAGGCGAAACTTATATCGACTGAGCAACACGCCACTGCTATCTACGATCTCAAAAAATTTTACTCTAGCAACTTTAAAATTAAGATTCTTCATTCGTTAGTCAAGCTAAGTCATATCTAGTGTCTCTGATAGATTTCTTTGCAGCGTTCAACGGTAGACCGCCACGTTCTCCATTTTCATTGGTGTTTTTTTTGCATCGTACTAACCGTTTCCTAATGTTGCTTAACACATTAAAATTCTTTTATTTATACGATAGTGATAATGCGAATGAAAACAGCTGTCGATCAATTCTCGTTTTAATAAAGCCGACTTCGTTTTTGCGCAAACGCGAAAACTAAAACAAACCAAAAATTTAATATAAGCACCCTCCGAATACCGAAAACGGGCTAATTTGCATTTCGGAATGCGCTAACAAGACCTTAGCCTGGAGCTAGAGGGCTGCACGTTGTTCAGCCGCCCTTCGACGGGGGCGGCAATGTCGCCGATCCCGATGATGCCCTCAGCTCACACTTTGTTCTCAAATCCTAATTACTAGAGGGCGAAAGCTGTAACACGCTATTTAGGTTTCATATCGCGTTCGGAGTGCCGCACTTGGTAATTTCCAACGATAACTGACTTGTTATTTGCTCACCTAATAACTAACCGACATTTTTTGTCGGCGAGCGAATAAAAACGCTTGATCGAGTGGATCGTGTTTTGTGAACAACTAAACAACTCGATTAAAATTCATACCGGGTAAAATACGAACTTTACATTTTTATTGTAGTTTTTTTAATTCAGTTTGTTTCGGAAGTAGGTTGCGGAGGTAAAGTAGGATTTAGTTACGGAGAAAATTCCCAATTAAACTTTTATTAAATTATAACTTGCACTTTATGATATCGGGCTACATGGGTTATCAGAACGGAAACGCCACCGATATCCTAGTGAACCCTAGGAATTCTTCCAGGCTTGAATTAATTTTTTTGATATAAAAATAAAGTAGGCATAGTAAGTTGAAATTTAGACCGGTGAACCTTTACTCCAGCAGTGCATGAATTGTATAAAAATAGTTGTGGTTTATTATGTACACGTAAATTGCATACTAATAGTGTGACCATGCAAATAAATTGTTGAATAAACCTTGTTTTAGTTGCGATGCAAACTTAAAATAACATAATTCTCGCTGAAACCATCGCCATAATAATAACGACCTGAATTTCGGCCAACACAAAAACCAAATAAAATAAACAAAATAAAAGTCTGTACATAAATGTGCTAACAGTGGCGCCTCTAATCCCCGTAATAAAATCGGAAATACAAAATTATTTTCGTGCAAAATGAAAATTGATATGTGCTTTTTTAAAATATTCACGGTTCACATTTGTTTCAAAATTCTTTTAAACAAAAAGCTTTTTACATCATTTTTCGGGTAATGAAATGCTCGAAAAATGAAGCCCCCATGTTTGTTCCCACTGCCCTTTTAACTTCTCTGGTATTGAAGTTATTTGAAAAATTTGCCCTCAGAGAAAAATTCAGTTGAATTCATTTTTAACTGTGCGTGCAAAATTAACCGTTGGCATTTATCAATTTCCAGCGGCTCGATAATTAACATTTTCGTTTAAGTGGGTCTCACAAAAAATTATGAAAGAACGCAAAAATATATAAGTTTTTTAGAGAACGGTTCTGCGGGGCTGTCAACAGCGAATATGCAACGTGCCCCCGAAAAGTAAGTTAAAATTATTTTGTAATTGGGCGACCGCTTCTGAAAACATGTTTAGACCTTCATCACATTTCGTCGCCTGTGCTTTTTCTGTTTACTCTCAAAAAGAAAGCAGAAACCTTTCCACATTTCATAGAACCGTGAAAGTTATTTAATATGCGTAGTTGAGTTAGGTGGAAAAACGACAGCCGACTAAAAGGTAGCTACTTTACATATCCCGAGTTTTGTACCAACTGAAAGTTAATAACAACCCAAGTAGGATTTCTTTTCCGCCTCGCGAACTCCACAAAGAAGCCAACGTTTCCAAAGCTGCGCTATTTGCTCCGACACTAGCAGCCAGAAACAGGTTTGTGTATTTCTTTGTGTTGGGATTTCTTCATCTTTTCCATTTAGCAGACGAGTGGCTTCCATCGTTTGTACCTAAATAAAGAATTACCGCATCGCGCTGAAATAAACGCCGAAACTTTTTCCTTTCTCTAAAATTCCTCGACGGACTTCGTTGTGTCTTCTTCGATTCGAGGGATGCTCCTGCGGGATGTGCGAGGATCTCGTGTATCGAGACAGTGCGAGTAGCGTAAACTTTTTTAAATTTAGACAGTTCCTTATCCCCGGGGGTCACGACAACTTGAACCGACATTTCGAATAAGGAACGTCGGTTGGAGCTTCAATCAGACACCCTATTTTGTTAGAAATGACGTGAAAGAAGCTCGATAATTTCATGCTACGCGAGTTTTTTATACGCGTTCTTATAATAAGATGACAGTGCCGAGTACATAAAACCCCAAAAAGAGACGACATATAGACCATTCCTGTTTCAAAGATTTTTCGGGATGCTTGTCGAGTTTCCTGCAGTTCCCTTTCTATTTAGGGAAAATTATTCCACGTCACTGGTGGAAGCCTCGGGGGAAACGCGGTCGATATCTATTAATGATAATTACGGAGAGGACAGGAAAAATTTTGCATCTTTCGAACAAACTATTATCTGACTCCAAACACCAACTAATTAAACTTTTAGCTATTAATTTGGGATACGTCGTTCAAAAAGATAATGCTACATTGATTCCATCGAACAACCAAGGAACGTCCTTTTGTAACCGTTTTGCTTACCCTACTAGTGTGATGGGCTCATATTTACCACTAATTAAGCCGTGTATTAACATGTCAATCATTTATCAGTTTATCTTTCTTATCACTCGTTATTAAGCACTTCGTTGCGCTCGTATGGACAACAATTTAAAATCAATACCAATGTTTTGCCATGTCGATATTATACTTATATAACACTAATGATTTGATTTGATCATAAACCTACTGGTAAAAATAAAAACTTTCAGGAAAAGAAAAACGAAGACACAATCAGCTTGTATTTGGTTTTTAATTTAATACACGTGAACTTTATTTAATGTCTGTAACGTGCAACGGACTTTTCCTTTTACCCTTTCCTCAATAATACCATCAAAGCGTGGAGTATTTCACGCTCCAGACGTTCATCCAAAGCAAGCTGAACCTTTGGAATACACAAATTCTTATTTAACACGCTGTAAGTTTCTGCCCGAGTTGTTGCCGTATATAAAAGTATCCTGGTAAAATTAAAAACAGGGCGAGTTCACCACAGCGTACATTAATTTATAAAACGAGATCAAGTCTTTGTTTCGTGAAAATCGCCAATTAATTGCAGCTCCGGGGATCGGATCTTGTAAATACACTCCACGGAATTCCAATATAGTGAGAGGATAACGCGCTCATAAAATACCTATCTGGTTGCTCTCATCCTGCGAAAAATACGGCATCAATAAAAAAGAATGCCTGCATTTAACTATGGAGCTATTTGCTCTGTAAACACGAGCGGGTGTTACGTACCAGACGAAGTGACTTCCGTGAATATTCATAATTCGGAAAAGGAAACAATTATTATCAGAAGTAAACGTAGGAATTTTGTAGCGACTAATGGATTAGTAATAACTGATACAGTTTTTATGTATTTTTAAAATATTTCATTAAAAAAATAATGACAAACTGTAGGTTTTATGTTTGCGCTAAATCAAAGAAACTACACTTTGCAGACTGTAATGATAAAAAATTGGCTAATTACATTCAAGCTTTAATATTTTAGGCTATAATTAAAAAATTAAATAAAGTATGGATTTTTAGTGCAGTTTAGCAATCAATAAATTCCAGTAATGAATATTTCAATTGCCGCAGGCCTCCGATATTAAAAACTGATAACACAAATATTATTTCTGACTGTGTTCGAAATGAGTTTTATTTAAAACAAAAAAAAGTTATTTTTAAATTAGAATGTTTTCCCACGCAAAATTAAAATTGCTGCAAATAAAACAATATTTTCCTTTCACAAACGGAAATTTTAATTAAACGACTTTTTAAATATCATTATTAAAATAATTTTCGTGACCACTGGTTATACTCAAAGCAAACTAAAAAATTCAGGAAAATCATACTCTTTCTGCGTCAAAAACGCTTACTCAGCTAACATTGATCTCGTTAAAAATAGCGCGTGAATCATTTTAAAATCTGCATCTTAAATTAAACTTTCAACTGAGTTATTAAAATAAAAAGATAAGTAAGTCGCCCACTTATTACGAGTTGTAAAAATTAAAATTAGCAGCCAAACTACTCGGCAGTATTTCACAAATCCCGTTTTATTTTAAAAAGAAACATCCTGGATGTAATGAGAATAAATTACAGCGACAGTTGGCGTATTACAATTAATAAATTTGTCCGGAGCCCGGAAACGTTCACTATTCTCCTGGCTTAACTGGAGTCGTACATTATGGAAAAAATGAGTCGTTTAAACAAGATTACTTTTATTAAACAACTTAAAAATTCTTCTTCGCGAGATATTTTTTAATTTATGGTGTCATTTTCTGTGTTTATAGGTTGCGCTTTCGTGAAATACAGTTCGCATCAGGAAGCGCAGGCGGCCATTAATAGCTTACACGGGAGCCAAACTATGCCGGTAAGTTGTATTTTTTTACAGTCTATTGGTTGCATACAGAGTGATTAAGCGAAGGTAGATATCAAGCGTTTCGTTTTTTTACTGTCAGGTATGTCGCAAGGACGCCTACAATGTCCTGTTTTATTTGGCACGAACATAAATGATCTTCAATATTTTATTTTTACTTGAATGTGGCAGAAATCATCTCCTAGCATGTTTTGCCGCTTCATGTCGTTGTTTAAGAAATAAATCAAATCAGTAATCACTCTGTACAACCCTCTTCGTGAGAGCTTTTTCTCGTGTCACTTTCGAATTTCGAAAATCCGGCGCGGTGATTTATTTTTGCAGAATAATACGTCCTTACATAAATCCGGAATATGCATGATGGGTGTGTTTGGCCGTTGTTCGGTACTAGAAGGGGACCAACGCACTCGAAATTCGCTTTATTTACGAGTGTGTAAGCGGTGCTAGGCCCATCACAGCCAACAAATACATAACAGCATGCAATATTAATGAAGCGCCACCGAAAGCAGTGGCTGCGTTCTCCGACAAACCGCCAACGGTTGTTATTCTATGTAAATGAGAGTCGACCTGCAGGTTGCAAATGAGGCAATAGCGAAGGGCATATGCCCCGTTTCGTCTTCTCGGGCGTATGCCGAACTATGCAGATTATGTGTACTCAGTCATTATGGCCACTTGAGCGTTCTGTTTGTTCTGAGTCCCACCTCGGTGTAAAGCTTTCCTGCGTTACGTCAGCGCGAAAAAATTGCACGAACGAGGCGAACATCAACAGCTACGTTAAAAATTAAAAACGTGGCGTGTCTTAGGCATTTAGGGTGAATGTGGGGGGCTTTTATTTACTGTTGTGCTGAATTTCGTGACGAGCTTTAAATTCCGGACTTAAAAATGCACGGTTTATGGGACGAACCAAATTGGTAAGGTTTAATACGCAAATGGAGTTTGATCCGAGCGCATTACAACGACGGCGGAGAGAAAATAAACTGTATATACGAACATACAAAGTCGAACGGTGCCCAGTTCACATTAATGGAAGTGCGCACAAATTACTTAATCCGAATATTCAAACTCAAGTTCATTTATTACAAATATTCACGTTCCACATACAACAAAGCTCTGAAATTTTATTTTATCTCCACTTCTCACAAAACCTGTCTCCCTGAATTCTAAACTTAGGATAAGTTGAACCTGTGCTAATGGTCCAGTTTCAATTTAACCGGAGTGTATATACACTAGATGTCCCTGTGAAGTGTGAACTGTTAGCAAATGTTTAGCTGTTTTTATGTTTATGTATGAAATGCTAAAATGTAGCCCGACGTTATAGCTTTAGAACGGCAAAACTGTTTTTTTTTATTCGCGATAAATCCAAGACTTGGGAATCCACGACAAACAGCTCTCCACATGGAAGGATATGCGTACAAGTAAATTTTCAGTTTGTGATTTCTATCGAATAAAAGATTTCATGTCGTCATTACCTAAACCTCCGCATTTTTGGGGATGGGCTGGATAGCTAACACAACATTTAAATTTAATTTGAATTTCTATTATGCTACGGCTAAATTCATTAATAAATTTAAATATTAATACCCATGCATAAATAGGATGCGTCACGTGTGGGTATGAAGTAATCCTGTGGGAAACGTTTCCCGTAGTATAATAGGTCTAAATGCCCTAACTCACCTCGTCTCGAAATTTATCAATACACGATCGTACATCCTGATACCGCGCTAATTAGTCACGCTTAACTTACTTGTTAGGAAAATACATCGGGAGCAAAGGGCACATTTTGGTGGATGCGCCGGGTTGCCGTAGGGACCTAACGAAAAAAATTTTAAAACAACCACCAAGAAACTTTTGTTTATATTCATTATGTGAGTGATACGCATGACACTCTCGTACCCTACAGCTAGTTCAGTACACTATTTTCGTTCTGGTCCAATTACACCCAAGGATCTTCGACTTTCTCTGTATGTTTGTTCTCTTATCGATTTGTTCTTCGAGACCCCAAATTAAAATTTCCAATCAATTAAAGCGAAACCTTTCACCCTCGACTCCGAAATTGCCGGTTCAATTAGCGTATAACGATAAGTTTGTTTGTTTTGAATGACAACAGGATCTTGAGCGAGTTGACTAATTAATTGCCTCGAGTTGTGCTGACAACTAAAGTAAGCAAATAAATAAGAAAAAATTGTGCTCCTAATTAGCGCCGCGACGACGAAATGAACGACCCGTAGCACACTCACTCGTCCGTCGACTTAACCTCATCTTCTTTACATCACCTGTCCTTATTAAAATCAGCGAGATGAACAAAGAGAAATACATGTTCCGTGAGACGAAATTATGACTGTTAAAAGCGTTTCATAACGGAGAGAGCGATTAACGCAAGCTTAAATAATGTCATATTATGCATGAATACACAATTATGAGACGTTTAGATGACATTAGTGAACTGTACCGTTTTATATGGATTAAAACACGGCCATGATGCTCCGTACATCGTTTAAGAAATTATGAGCGCTCCCGTGTTTAATTATAATTTAATTAAATGTGCTAATATTTGCACAGGCCCTTTGAATTTTATTAAAACATCCTTCACACGACGCAAAAATTTACCGACTCGACTCCTCTTTATTTCATCATATATCACATCCGCAACTTGTATTTTACGACGTTTCTTACATCATGCTTCTCCAGAGTGTGATAAAATCGCGCAGCGATTTCACCCGGATTTTCGATATAAATCAATCCGAGTTAAACGCTAAGTAAAATTTAGAACATTTTTAGCGACATCAAAGTAAGTAGTAATGAAATAAAAGATAAATTGATATCTCGAACGATCTAAAAACACTACATTAACATAGGGTCTCCACGACACAGTTTGACACATAAATGTGTTGTTTCTTCGACAAATCCATTACTTCTTTTTCATTTATTGGCAATTTATTTACAAAACCCTTCAAAGCTTATAAGTACTTAGAAACCCATTTAATGCCTTTCCATTTGCATCGCCAAAGTAGGCACTATTTCATTTAACCCCTCTACCACAACAGAAAATATAAATATAACGAAACAAACCATTATGACTCGGGACAGACAGACAGACGGAAACGGGGACCTATTCCTTCGCTTACGCTCGGGAAGTTAAAAAGGAAATTACATACTAATTTTGAGTGTTAACGGATTTGGACCCACGTGTAAATTTTCAAACATACTCTCCTCCTCACGAAAATTAACAATTAAGGCGCGACCAAAATTTAAAAAATACTTGCTTTTTAACTCTTTAGAAAAACCGTTTCGGCGTCCCTATCTCGAAACTATCAAGAATTTTTTTATTACCGATATTTGTTGATGTTTTTACCTCGATCGTTCCCATCGTTTTTCTATTCATACTGCTAAAAAAAAAACAAGTTATGGTCAGATTGATATCGGGTGATTTATGACGTTTAAGTGAGCAGTTTCGATTGAGCCGCTCATGAGTAACTAGAGTAGAAATTTAAAAAATCAGCCGATATAATTAAGTACGTGCGCGTTTATGACGTCTAGTAAGTTCCACTCTAAACGCGAGCGGCAAAAACGCAAAAACAATAAATGAGACTGATGTAGTATTGGTTTTAGGCCGTCCACGTCAAAAACTAAATTACGGCTTTCCACAAAAAAGGGATTCAATTTTTGCGCTATTGAGTATTCCGCACGAGGTCTCGTTGACATAACCGCGGCCGCGATGAGTGGCCATAAAAACAAACAAAAAACCTGTGTGGATGTGACGAAACAAGCAAAAGTGTTATTTACGACGTGAGCGAAAGCAGAAAGTTTTCGGTTTCACATTTTAGTGTGATGTTTATAATTTAGAGGGTGTATATAAATCGCATTATTCGGATCGTAACTTCATAATTGTATTTATTATACGCACACACACGAGGCTCGACTTTGTCATGATGCTGAAGATAAGCGAAACTTTCCCCTGTATTATAAAATATGGCAAGCACTTTATCAAGCTGTCAGTTGCGGAGCGAAGAATATAAAAAGTAATCCAACTGCTCGCGATTCGACTAAATTCAAACATTCCGGCGGCGGCCGAAATGGAAATTTGATTTGGTTTCGAGATGCTGAAATAGATGATAACATAATTGTTTTTTATTTCCAACGAAAGTGAATTATGGGGCACACCTTTCCGTATTCTGCGCTGTCATGAAATGGAAATTATCGCTATTATTTTAATTGCGTTCGCGCAAGTACGGCGTATTGTAGGTCTGAATTGGCTCGTAACATGACAATCAGTATTGATCTTCGTACCACAGGTGTTCAATCCGATAAGCGGTCTGTCGGCGTAAACCCCGATACGCGATAGTTGGATGGATATTATGTCTTGTATCATCAGCGAAGCTATTAAATCAAAATATAGCTGCATGTCAGACATTATAGCCTATAACTCCCCTTACCCAAATGGTGTTATCTGCTCGCGTCCATTCCTAGTCGCCCCATTCGCCTTTTTTTAGCCGGACTCGTACCTAAAATACACTCCGTATATCTGAGATCTAGACATCATCATTAGATGTTATGTTCCCAGATAATAGTAATAAGTGTCTAATGTTGGGACGTATCCAAAATGACACCAATTTATTCCATTACCGAGGCACGTTACCTTAAATTATGGCTATAGGGAGGGTAATAATTTGACATTGGAAGGAAACAGCTCATCATATCCCTCATTATTTCAGTTTCCTTTTCCTTCATTTCACATTTTCGACGTTCGTTAGGTGCATAAAAACATGAATCGGTATTTTAGTGTTTTTTTCACGTCAATTACGCCGGATCTCCTGTGACACAATTATTTAAAATTTTCCGAATCCACGACAAAGTCGACAATCGAGTTGAAGCAATAAAGAAATGTCCTCTCGGAGGTAGGAAGCGCCGCTGTCAGTTAAATATGAGTTGTCATCCGACGTCTCGAGTACAAACAGCTACTTTCTCATTCCTTCACTTTCCACACTTAATGCATTTAA